GGGTGGGTGTGGGTGGGTGTGAGTGGGTGTGGGTGGGGGTGGGTGGTAACAATCACGTTCAGTTGGAACAACTTCGTTTCATGAACTCAATCTGCATCTTCGTTTGATAAAGAGAAATGCGAAAAGCTGTGGGACACTTGTGTGCGTGTGTGTCAAGATGTTCGTTTCGAAAAAATAAAATAAAAAACAAAAAAGTGCTGACCATTGGAGTCCTTAGGAGTCCTGGTATGCCTTTGGAGTCCGCAAAATGGCGTCGAGACCACAAAAAAAATATACAATCCATCCACAGAGTAGATTTCCCCTCGAGAGAAAACCCACAAAATCATGATTTGATGCGTCCCACATGCTCTAAGAGCATGAATCAAGCTCAATGATGCTCAATGCAGATGTGCAATTTCACGCAGTTGCTCAGCTGTCACCGCTGTCATGTTGTTTTACTCCCCAGTGAGGTTCATGTCATGATCAGTCGGATGTAGTTCCTCTCGTTTCTGATCAAGTCATTGAGTCATGACTCACCACGAAAATCGCAACACATTGGTCTCTACGCCCAAAAACATCGCCGTTCACAGCCCTCCGAGCATCAAAGAACTGTTGGCTCTTGATGCCGTAGCCCTCGGCGAAAATGATGGGCGCGATAAAGACCAGCCTGTGCTCCGGGTGCGATCGGTGAAGATCCCCGTTTCAAAGCACAAAGCGACATCTGTGTACAGGTGTACATGTGTGAAGAATCCAAGGTCGCCTTGATTCCGCGGGCGGAACTGGCCATCATTCTTGGTTGCCCAATTGGCCATCCTTCTCGGTGCCTTTTCTCCCGCCGGCGGAATCGGCCTTTGGAAACCACCTTTATGAAACCGTTCTCGCTCGGAACGCCCTTCGCCCCATGGGCTTCCGGACATGAACTGCTTGGCCGACAAGTCCTCCAGCTTTTGGAACGTATTTCGATTCACCTGCGACCGTCCCTGGGGTCTTCGGACGACTGCGTCGCGTCGTTTTGGAATGGTTTCTCAACGAGAATGGAAATGGTTCATGACTCTTCAGATCGGCAAAAAGGGTTCAAAGTGGTCTTTTCCACGTCCCTGTTCTTTTAGTATCGTCACAAAAATGACGACAAAATGGTCACATTGAAGCTGATCAGCACGTGTCAAAAGGTTCTTGTTCCATGGATATGAGAAGCTCCAGCATGAACAAAGGAAGAAACACAATGACAAAGGACAAACAATACAAAAAAAAAAAAAAAAACATCATGTGACAAAACATGCGAGCAAGTTGGACACGGTACATACAGTACAAGGGGTCATCAT